CAGGGGCATTTCTGAGCCTCTGTCTTCTCTGACTGGCTTGGGCTGGTTCTGGGCCTTAGGAATGAGAGTGGCCCTCAGAGCCCTTCAGAAAGAGGAGGTGTATCAGTCAGCTAGGACTGCATAACAAAATACCACAGACTGGGGGCTTAAACAACAGGTATTTTCCTACAGTTGGAGGCTGGAGGTCCAAGATCAGCAGAGTTGGCTCCCTCTGAGGCCTCTCCTCGGCTGGCAGATGCCACCTCTTGCTGCCTCTTTACATGGTTGCCCTCTGTACACCGGTATCCCTGGGTCTCTCTGTGTGTCCAAGTTCCTCCTATGAGGACACCAATCAGATAGGATTAAAGCCTGCCCTCACAGTCTCATTTTTTTCTTAATTACCTCTTTAAAGGTGCTATCTATAAATACGGTCACATTCTGAGGTACTGGGGGTTAGGATTTCAACATAAGAATTTCAGGGGGACGCAATTCAGCCCATCACAGGAGGCATGTTGGACCTACGATCCTGGGGTCTCCTCACAGCTGACTGTGGTCCATAGGGAGGGGTTCATGTATTTCTCACTGCGGGACCTCCGCCAAACCACGCGGCTCCTTCCACTCCGGGCAAGAAATGTGAGTTGTATTAACTAGTGATTGAGGTTCTGGCTGCACAAAACCTGGGAAAGGCACTCGGGTTGTTGCTGATGGGCTGAGCTGCTGTCATAACATGCCCAGTGGGAGGGGCCTTCTGAAAACTTCCATCAGGGCTGAGGAGTCCCAATGGTGGGAGGTTGGGATAGACCTTCGGTCAGAGGCAGTTAATCCTCCCAGAGGGGAGTTGGAAACTATGAAATCACAGTCCTTTAATGCAGGCATACAGCCCAGTTGGGACCTTTATTTTTCAACTGGAAAGACTGGAAAATTCTGGTCATCCCAGCTGGCTTGAAGAATCCTGTGGTGACTGCTTGGATGGGCCAGTCTGGGAAAGACTGACTGTTAGGATGGGGTAGGGAGTTGTTCTGGTCACTGGAGAGACCACTCCCAGGCCCCAGCTGGCTGTCACTGGGCCAGTGCATCCCTGGCAGGAAACTACACAGGAAGAGTCTGGTAGGATGGGCCTGATGGGCCTGAGTGATACATGAAGGCGCTTGTAGTTGAGAGCTTAATGGAAAGTGGTCTGCTCACTTGACAAAGACAAGGGCACAGCAAGGCTGGAAGTGAAGGCGCTGAACTCATGAGGCCAAGCTTATTTGAAGTTACTGGCTAGTCCTCATGGAAGACAGGCTGATATTATAGGTTCTAGAATCACAGATTAGTAGTCCTGGAATGAAGCTAAATTAGCGGTTTTCAAATCGTGTTCCGTGGAATCCAAGGGGTTCCACTAGGATTTCAAGGAAGTGTCTCAAAGCCCCCATTCCTTCAACTAGAACAGCTATGCTATTATCTCTTTCCCATTTGGACTTCCGTACTGAATTGCTTTGGCAGAGGGTTGGGGTGGGGGATGGGGGCAGGGTGAGGTGGGGGTATGGAGTGGCAGAAAGAGGTTTCTCTGTGTTAAAAATTTAAAGCTACCAGTCTAGTCCAAACATTTTATTTTATGGGTGAGGGATTCATTCATCAAACATGTTTGGAAGAGTTTCATGCGTGATAATCTGTGCTAGATTTTGGGGTTGTTTGTTATTAAAACACAATGTGCCAAAAACTAACAGGGCTAAGATTGGGACACAGATTTCTAGAGCTGAGGCCCAGAGTATATCCTCTTTACCCACACTGCAGGTGTTTATGGTCAGCGCCGTCGAAAGCGGGCTTTGCTGGACTTCGTGTACAGTGTGGCGGACTGGACCCAGAGTGTGGCTGCCCAGGCAGCTTCCCCCTTTGTCAAGCACTCCTGCACACTCTGTTAGGATGGCATGCCCTCCACAAAGCCAGGAAAGGACTGGCGTGGAAGAACAGCTCCATTCAAATGTATCCGTTCTTTCACTCATTGATTCATCCCCCAGACGCCCACTGAGCACGTGCTGTGTGCGATGAACAAGGGTGGGTGCTGGATACTTTTTATTTGCCTGATCTCTCCTCTTGGGCAAGAAGGAGGACCTGAAATTCCACCCAGGCTGGGCTTCTAAGAACTGGGGAGGGGTGTGGAGTTGTGGGGCTGGCTGTGGGAGCAGGGTTAGGAACCTGCAATCTATGTTCCACTTGGGGGTGGCTAGGAAGCCAGAGGGGCCAGAGATATCCAACGCAAGGAAGCCAAAGGAGGGAGCAGCTCCACTGGAGCTGAGACACTCCAGGGGTCCTGCTGGAGAGCAATGGGTGGGAGGGAAGAGCTGAGGGGCCCTGTGGGCTTCAGTAAGGTTTATCAGCCCTAGGGAGTGAGTAGAGCATTTAGCATGGATTAAGATGTGGTGATGGTTTTTGACTGTTCTCCTTAAAGGGTAGGGAGGAGCCTGTGAAAGGATACCACAGACCAGTGGTTCCCAACCTTGCCCCCCGTTTTTATTGCTAAAAAACACATAACATTGGGGCCAGCCCAGTGGCTCAACACTTAAGTGCGCATGTTCCACTTTGGTGGCCCGGGGTCCACCGGTTCAGATCCCGGGTGCAGACCTTCGCACCGCTTGGCAAGCCATGCTGTAAAAGGTGTCCCACGTATAAAGTAGAGGAAGATGGGCAGGGATGTTAACTCAGGGCTAGTCTTCCTCAGCAAAAAGAGGAGGATTGGTGGCAGATGTTAACTCAGGGCTAAACTTCCTCGCACACACAAAAAAATTTTAAAAATAAATTTAAAAAACCATGTAATGTGAAACTTACCATTTTTACCATTTTTAATTATACAATTCAGTAGTGTCAAGTATATTCACATTGTTGTGCAACAGATCTCTAGAACTTTTTCATCTTGTAACACTGAAACTCTGTATAATGCTAATTCTCCGTCCTCCCTTCTCTAGCCCTTGGTAACCACCTTTCCACTTTCTGTTTTGATGAGTTTGACTACTTTAGAGACTTCATATGAGTGGAATCATACAGTATTTGTCTGCTTCAAGGCTTGTTTATCGGTATCTTCACACTGTTCACAGGCACAACACCCTCCCATTAGTAACATCTCCAATCACGCACACACACACACACACACACACAGGAGGAGACAAAAAGGGGAGGGAGAGACACCAGCAAATGCTCACACGGCTGAATTTTGGGTGGGGATACATATAGAGTTGGAAAAAGCCCTCTAGAAATTCTGATACCTTCCCCGACTCCCAAGATTGCCCCCCTTGTTGAGAATCACTGCTGTGGATGGAAAGAGAGTCCCCGAAAGCACAGGAGGCAGAGGAGAAGTCAGTCACAACATTTATTGAGCACTCACAGCGTGCAGACTATGGGGCAAAACTACAGCGGAGGTTCAACAGCTATTGTCACTTGCCTCGTGAAGATTACATTTTAACTGAATGGAGGGGATAGCTGTTAAGCGGATGTGAACACGTGTAACCAACCACATGGGTACATGCACTGCTCATTCACTGCTGCAAGTTTATTATGGGCGATCACCACAGTCACTAGGGCCCGAGAAGCCGTGGGGACACGTGGTTTAAATACAGATCGAAGACACATTCCTGTACTCTGTGGTGAGTAGAAGCTACCAGAAGGCACTCAAAAATACCAGAAACTTGGTAAATCTGCTTTTTTAACTCAACTGGCCGCTTGATTTTGAATTCAGATGAATAACCCTCTTTAACATGAAATAAACACAGTTGACTCAACACAGTACTAGAACAGCTTTATGTTAAAAAAAATTTTTTTTAAGTAAACTCAGCCTGTTGATAGTACCAATCCCAAAGTTCAGGCATAGATTCTGAAAATTAATAGTGTTTTTCTTCTTTTTTAACAAAGCTTCCATTATGTGAAAGAGCGTCCAATAAATTTAGTGAACAGCGGCATTTTACTGCTCTATATCTGGGAAATCTTGTTTATATTTTTATATGCTTTTTGAACTATTTTAAAGTATGGGGCTGCTGGATAAAATACAGGACATATTTTAGTGCATGGGATATACTCATACTAAAAACATTATTTGTTGTTTAGCTGAAATTAGAATTTAATGGGACATCCTGTATTTTATTTGCTAAAGCTGCCAACCTTATTTTTAGATTAATGCACCTTTGAAACTTCCAGAGGTTCCAATAATGGGGGGCCTAATTTATTTTCATTTTTATGCTACCTCTGTCAGAGGCAAAGTCTTCTTCTGGCAAGAAAATTGTAGATTTTGTAGCATTTTTTCAAATATTGGAGAAGCTTTTATTTCTGACACCTTTCTCATTACCATTTTGGCAGTGTGTGTTTTAGTTGAATTTTTACCTTGAAATCTTTGGCCGAGATGACTGGTTATAAATATTAACACTACATTGCAGTCTGAGCAATAGAAAAACTAACATCTAGATGGAAAAGTCCCCCGTCGTAAATGGCCACGTCCTCAATAATTTCTTGTCTGTTTCTACATGACCATTTTCCCCCTAAAAATCAAACGGGGACATTCACATCTTGTTAAATTACATGACGTCCCTCCCCTATTCTTGATCACTTCTTGCCACTGCCCTCCCTGTCCCCCTTCCACATTGATTTGTTTCGATAATTGAAATCACTGGCCCTGGTACACCACCAAGAGTGTCAGGCCTGGGTCAACGGGTGGTCACAGCCCCACAAAAACAAGAAAAAGAAAAGCTCACCTGTCAGATACTTGGAGGCAAACAAGCTATGAACTTTGTTTGTTTTTACTTCCTACGCTTGCATGAAACTGCTTCTGGGGCCTGCCTCATGGCTGAGTGTGTTAAGTTTGTGCACTCCACTTCGGCAGCCTGGGATTCACCAGTTTGGATCCTGGGTGCAGACCTACACACTGCTCATCAGGCCATGCTGTGGTGGTGTCCCACACAGAAGAACTAGAATGACCTACAACAATGATATACAACTATGTACTGGGGCTTTGAGGAGGGAAAAAAAAAAAAGGAAGTTTGGCAACAGATGTTAGCTCAGGGCCACTCTTCCTCAATAAAAAAAAAAAGAAAGAAAATAAGACAAAAAAAGAAAGAAATGTACTTCCTGGTATCTAAATGTACAACTCATGTCCTATTTTAAATTGTGATTTCTAAATTAGAAGAGAGAGATTTCAAGACTGATTTTGCAAAGAAAATAAGTTCATATGAAACTCCAGGTGCTGTGAAGGAATGTAACATGGTAAGATCTGCTGAATTCCAACATCAATTCACTATCCTCTTTTTCTTTTTTAAAACACACCAAAGACCATACTTATATGTAATGAACATACTTATATGTTCGGTTTACATATATAAATAAAATCAATACAATTATTAACAAATCCATAGATTATATTTAATGCATAGACAGCTTTGACATCCAAAAGTTATTTGTTAATTGAGTCTGCATCTGCCAGTTTTCATTCTGGGCCTGACTACACACATTCCCACCCTTGGCTAGGTGCACACAGGTTACAACTCTCCTTTGTACCTAGAGATCTTTCTGGAAAACAGAAAGTGCCAGATGAGTATGAGAAATTAAGTTGAGGCAAAGAAGCCAAGGGATTTCATATCACCCCATAAAGGTGGAGTTAAGCAATACATATTAAAGTAGGAAAACATATGTCTATGCACATTCTGGCACTTAACGTTCCTTGTAGTAAGACAGCATTGCATCCAGCTATTTGCCTTGTAATCTTTGTTATGCTTAAAAATGTAAGTGCCAAATTCCATCTTTGAGACAACCTTCCTTACGCTATTCTGATGACGACATAAACGATGTCTCTGAATGTCCTTGACTGACCTCAAGAAGAAAAAGTCAAGCTGTTCTCTTACTACAGAAAATGGCCAGAAGAGGGTTTGCTTTGTTTTCCCTCTTGTGGTCATGATGAGGGGGGTGGCTCCAGAATGTACACGGCAGAGTGATAGAGTCCCCAGGGACAAAGCAGTGTCCACAATTCTGCATCAGCAGAAGAAGCAGAGCATAGACGTGTGTCATTATGGGGAGTGAGAGCTCACCTTGGATGTTCTAGAAGCTTCTAAAGCTCAGTAAGTTCCACATACCCATTTGAACATGTGCTTGGCGATTACATTTACAGCATGGTGAATGTTCTTGAAAATTTCCTGCCTTTAACTGCCTGGAAACCAAGTCATGGCCCCACCCTCATAGTGTTTCACAGGAACATGAAGGATGAAAGGCAGACAGTGAGTAGTTCTCACTGGAAATGGAGACTTCCTTCTCCTTCACTTCCTGCCTCCTCCTACTCCTGCTTTCTTCTTCTTTTCCTCCTCCCACAGTCCCCTTCCTTCCTTCTGCACTGGAGGGCAGGGGACAGCTCACAGGGGTGGGGCAGAGGTACTCATATGGCTGTATGAGTACCTGGACAGAGAGGCCCTTGTGGTCCTGCCTTCCTCCTCCTCGCCCACCTCTCCTCTCACCCCTGGAGGGCCAGGGTTGGGGCAGCAGGGGAAGGTGGCCATGAAGCCGAGGCGGAACCGTTTGTTCATGAAGCAGTAGATGATGGGGTTGACGCAGGAGGAGGTGTAAGAGAGCAGGAGGATGAAGGAAATGGGGGTCCCTGAGAGGCGGCGCTCGGCAGAGGCGGGGTCATAGGCCCGCCAGGCATTGGCGCTGAAGATGGGCATCCAGCACAGGAAGAAGAGGACCACGATGACCATGAGCATGCGGATCACCCGCTTCTTGGCCATCAGGTTGGCTGCTGAGCTGCTGCTCCTGATGCGGTTGACCCTGCTGCTGCTGCTGGCGGTGGACAGCTGCTGAAGCTCCAGCTTCCTTGGGTGCTTGGACTTCTGCAGGTAGCACCCGTCACTGTCCTCGTATCTGCTGCTGCTGGTGCTCAGTTTCCTTTCTGGGTGGGCAAGTGACATCACTTATTGGTGGGGATGGGTCATGCCAGGCAGAAGGCATGGAACCCCTGCGCCCCTCCATCGAGTGGGCCAAACCAAACTTGAACTGGAGAACTGGGCGGGGAACCTTGGCCCTGCACTGATATGAAGAAGTCCTTTCCTTCAAATAAAAAGCTACTTAAAACCAATAAAATAACGTATAATATATGATATACATAATGTATTATAATAAAAGAATATTTTATGTATGTAGATTATAAGGATAAAAACTGAATGAAGGGGTGGAGTGAGGTGGGAAAAGAGTTATGTCCACGAGGGTGTTGGGGCCAATTTTAGCAGCTAGTGGATTGTCATGAATGGACAAAGAGGGAGTCTTTGCAGCGACTGCAATGTGACAATGAAAGGGAGGAGGAAGGATGCGCACTGGGATTACAATTAGCTTTGGTTGCTGGAGGAGGTCTGTTTGAATGCAACATTACAGAAAGTCTGGGGCACATGGGCCCTCAGCTTGTAATTGGGTTATGTGTGTATTATCTCATTTTATTCCACTCAGCGCCCCTTAGAGAGGAATGATTTCTCCATTTTACAGATGAGGCAATAGAGACACTAAGTCTCATGATGGTGCCTTATGACACAGAGTCTCCTAAGAATACTTTTGAGAATTTCCAGTGTACGCTCTGGGTGTATCTATGTAAGTTTTAGGAAACAAGCTGTTGTGACATCCTGGCATAAACATACAGCCAAAAGATACTCACCTCGAGCAGACTTCTTCTGGCTGGCGTCAAATCTTATTCCTTGGTAAAGTTCCACAGAGATCAACCCATAGGCCACCATCATCACGATTCCAGGAATAAGAAAGAGGATGAGTAACAGGAACGTGTGCCTAATAAGATGAAAACAAATCCATAACCAGCAACTCCGGTATTTCAGACTCACATGAGGTGGAATAAATAGGGTTCATCTCCATTTTAACTGATCAGAGCAAACACGTTAATTACTGGTATTTAACATCTTTGGGAAGTCTACGTCTGGAGATTCATCATTAGAAGTTGTTTACTTCTTTTCTTTTTTCCAGATAAGGTCTCTTATGAGGGACTAGTTAAATTGGAAAAGTTCGATGTAATTCAGTGTCTAAAACAAGTCTACATGTAAAACTAATGAGAACTTAAAAAAACCGAAACAGTAAGAGTATGTGAATTATATCTCAATAAAGCTGTCACCAAAATAATGATAAGAATAATAAATACAAGACCTTACATTCATTGAAGATTTATTAAATATGCTACACAATAGGCTAAGAATTTCACATATATATATATATATATATATATTTATATATCTGACTACATTTAACTCCCATAATAACCTTTGAGGAAGGTACTAGTATCACAATACCTATTTTACAGAAGAGGAAACTGAGAATGAAAGAGATTAAATAATTTGTTCAGAGTCACACAGCTAGGGACAATGGTGGGATTTGAACCCAAGCAATATGATTCTAGAACCTATGATCTTAAGCATCACACTACACCGTTTGTTGGCTTTATAACAACAGAATCATCAAATGCGTAGGTAGGAATGATGGAGAAACCTCCTTGGTTTTGCAAACTATGGCATTCGGGCTGTTTCTGACCCACTGGCACAGTGGCACGCTCGTTTTAGTGCCTGGCAGGGCAGAGCTATGCTCTCTCTAAACATGCCAAGTTCCTGAAGTCGCGCAGCCTTCTCCTTTATGAGCCTGGCCCCTGAAGTCACTCTTGCAGTCTGGCACGTGTAAGGTTACACAATTAGACCATAAAATTGTCAGAGGTTCATGGTGGCTGGGCCATTGTTCATTTCAGTTGGATGTGTTTTGATAAGATTTCAAGTCTTGGATATGTCCCTCTCATTTGCAGCATAATTCTTTTTTTGTCTGTGTTGCTTGGTTGAAATAAAAAAGGAAGGCAAAGAAAGCAGTGATTATCTCAGTTCGGAGTCTTCTTGAATGTCTAGCTTCCTGCTTTTCAAACATGCTTGGAATTAGTAAACATAATACCCTGCATTTGTGTAGCCTTTTTTAGATGCTTAATGACATTTTCTTACATGTACTCTCATTTGAATCTGACAGCTACCCAATGAGGCAGGTGAAAGATATCCATACTATTAAAATCCTTGTACAGACAAAGAACCTGAACCCCAGAAGGGTTACATGAACTTGTCCAACGTCCCCCAGCGAGGAAGCAAAGAAACAGCTGTTAGAATCTTGCCTTGTTATTTCTCGCCAAGTGCTCTGTGCAAATATCATAGCTGCAGCTCTAAGAAAAACCACAGGGATTTGGGACTCAGCCTCTGCTGTCTTCAATTCTTAGGAAATCGTAGCCCTCCAAATCATCTGGCCGAGGCCCCCACTAGACCATCCAGAAGCATCAGAGGCCCTGTCTCTTCTAGGTTTGTGACCCTGAGCAACTCACTTAACCTCGGCATGTCTCAGTTTCCTCATCTGGAAGATGGGGACAATAACAGTCCCTGCCCTATAGGGTTTTGAGAGGATGAGCTGGATTAACATACGGATGACATTTAACGCAGAGCTCTCTAAGTGTTTCCTGTCACTGTGGTCCTAGAAAGAGGTGATCCTTGTCAAAGTGATCCTTGTCAAAGTCTCCAGAAAACTGGTCTCTCAGCCACTCTGGACCATACGTTCCAGTTTTTATCAAAACTGCAAAGTTATATCAAGTTGTGTTAAACAAATGAACAGCACCCCTTACCAGGACTGCCGCAGAACATCATTTGGCAGTAGGAAGCGGCACATATTCGCGGTCTGGTTGTTACTTTTGGTAAAAGGCACCAAGTTGCTGTAAATGGGGTACGGAGTCATGATGGTGAAGGAGAGGCACCAGGTTGCGGCAATCACCTTCAGAGCGTGGGATTTTGTCTGCCAGACCCGGGACTGCAAGGGTTTGCAGATCGCACTGTATCTCTCCAGAGATATGGCGACCAGATTAAAGGTGGATACACTCACAGAGGTGCCTGGGAAAGGAACAAAGAAGGCGGTTATGTCGGCTCTGAGATCCAGCGTTTATTTGCACATGAGCTTAAGCACATCTGACCTGCATGGGCTTCATATCAAAGGAAAACACTCAAGAGGGCAAAGAAATATTGTGTATGTATATTTTTTAAAAAGGGGTTAGCTCCAGCTTTCTTCCCAAAAGGATTTCAGGCAGTTAAAGGAATGTATTTGCAAATACATGTTATTGCCAATTTTTTGATAAGCTTGTTGAACTTTGATTACAGCCTAATTCCTTCTTAGGTTGCAGGTGCTTGTTAATTAATGACCAAGGGGATGAAATATGTTCCTACTCCACAGCAGACGAGTTTGAGTAACCCCTAGAAAAGCTCTAATTTTGAACATGGTGTGCATAGTTAGGCTGACCTTATAACCTAAGTCGCAAGGGCTGTGGCCCCGGAAGGTCACTGGGGTCTGAGCTGAGGGCATTCAAACTTCCTGAAAATTTCTAGTACAGACTGTTTTCTTAAGAGTGAAACATTCTAACTTTCGAAATACAGTTTATTGAAAAAACACACAGTCAAACGATGAAGGGGGAAATGTCCACACTGTGACTAACGGTTTCTCTGGGTCGGAGGACCAGGCTCTTCCTTCTCATTCTCTTCGCTTTTCTGTATTTTGTAGAATGAGCAGGCATTATCAGTGAGAAAGACATCAAAACACCTCACTTAAAACGATGGACTTAGGCATAGCCAGACAAGCTTAATTCTCCTTAATTCTTGTATTTTGTGTGTGTATACTTGTTATAATGTCTTTTTCCCTTAACATTCCCTTTAATTCTTCGTCCATGAATTCTGTCAATTCTTCTGATTCTCTCTTGCCATGATTTCTTAAACCTTAGAATTAATCTAAGTTTGGGAGTAGAAGTTCTTAGCCTGAGGTCTTTCATGGATATAAATTAATTCTCTGAACTGATGTATAAAATCCTTCTTTTTCTAGGGAGAATATCCATAGTATTCCTTACAGACTTAAAGAAATCTATAATCCCAAAACCACTAAGTAAAAACTCATGTTCTGAGACAGGGTTTGCTGCGTTTTACTGGACTTTAAGGAGTTGATGACATTTAGATTAGAGAGTCTAGCCCCAAACTCCTCAGAGTCAAGTCTATGTAACGGGTCTGTAATTATCAACCCACCATCAGGCAAACACTGCTTTTTTTTCCTTTTTTGAGTGTATGTTAGGAATTTAATGAATGTTAACTTAAGAATAGCATCAAGGAGAACACAAAATGAGGGAAGAATTGAAATCACTGGAATCAGAAATCCACCGAGCGGCTGCCCGATGGCGCAGTGGTTAAGTAGACACATTCTGCTTTGGTGGCCCGGGGTTTGCCGGTTCAGATCCCGGGTGCGGACCTACGCACCGCTTAGCAAGCCATGCTGTGGCAGGCATCCCACATACAAAGTAGGGGAAGATGAGCAAGGATGTTAGCCCAGGGCTAGTCTTCCTCAAAAAAAGAGAAAGAAATCCACTGAAGCCATTGTGGTCTTGCAAACACTTTTCAGAATTCTCTTGCTTTTCATTTTAGCCATTTTTAAAACTATTTTTCTATTGAAGTGAAATTCACATAACATAAAGTTAACCATTTTAAAGCAAACAATTCTGTGATGTTTAGCACATGCACAATGTTGTGCAACCGCACAAGCAGTCGTTTTACGTCTCCTTTTGCAGACCCTGGTTAAGATTCTGAAATCACATTATTGTAAGATACACGCGGATGGGTCTCGAAAGCCTAAAGCACTATGAAATGCTATTATTATGATGTTATTAAATACTAAGTGTTATTAATATTGCTTCGTTGTTTAACAATGATCCTTTTCATCTGTGAGTCCATCTTTATTTTCAGAGGACTGGGACACGGGCTGACACCTTCTGGGTTATTTGTGGGTGGCATGCAGACCAGTCATACCTCATCACTTTGTCAGAGCTGGATCCCGCTTCCTCCGTCGGGAGAAATAAAGGCTTTTAAAGCTTTCCGGACACTGAGGACTGCCCTAGCCCAGCTCAGCTCTGCATATTTTGCAAGGCTTAAGTCAGAACAAAAAACAGCTCCCCTTCATTTCCCTCCTCTCCTTCTCCCCGCAGCTAGCTCTCAGAACCGGCGAGGGACAAGGCAATTTGGCAGACAGAGGGGACCAAACGACATGTCTGTTCAGCTCAGGAGAGCCGAAGCAGTTGGCAAACTGAGGCAGTGTACTCACTCACCACTGAGGTGACTACCGACCTGGGTTCAGATCTCAGCTCTGTGGCTTACCACCTGTGTGTCCTTGGGCACATTATTAACCTCTCTGTGCCTCTGTTCTCTCCTGGGTGAGATAGGGAAGAATAACTGTATATACTTCATAGGGTGGTTGGGAGATAAATAAGATCATGGAAGTAAGAGCACTTATACAACATCTGGTACATAAAAAGTACGCCAAAATATTAGCTCTTGTGATTTTTATCACTGTCATTATCACTTTGATCGGGAAAGGCAGAGAACTACATATCTCAGTCAATCAGGGTCAGCTCAGCGAGTCACGGGCTCCAGGAGCAAATTCGGCTCCTCATCCAGCAGCAGAGGCCTCGCTCGCTCTCTGCCTGACTCGGTCCCAGCTCCTGGGGGAACAGGCTGGGAAGTGAATCCTGAGAAGGGAATCTAGAGCTGTAGTGAAACTGATTTTCTCTGAAACACACTTTTCCCTTGAAAAGCAAGAGCAACAACGGAAAGGCCCCTCTTCACCACCCTCGTGATCCCCCAAAACCATGACTTGAGTGGGTAGAGCTCAGAATACAATCAACAGCTTCCAGGGGGGGACAGAGCAGCTTTACCCCTCTTTCTTTCTAACAGAAGCAAGCAAAACCAACTGCTTCTGTGGTTTCTCATCAACTTATTCCACACTGAGAAACTGACCTGAGCAATGTATGACCGGGGTCCGACTTCTGGGAAGTTCTGAGGACTGACATACCGGAAAGCCAGCACTTGTGTCCTTGCACAGAGCGCTACACAGCCAGACGTTTTGGTTTTTTACACTCAGCAGGGGTCCTCCACTGAGGCTGTCAGGGGTTTGGGAAGGTCTGGGGCTGAGTGGGGTCTGGGGCAAGCTCCAGAAATAGTTACCAGCGGCAACTCACCCATGAAGTAGGTGGTGGTCTTGCAAACAGCACTCCCGAAGATGAAATCCTTGAGCAGGTTGGGGATGAGATTGAACGGCATGCAGAAGAGACAGAGCATGAGGTCGCTGACAGCCAGGGAGAGCAGGAAGATGTTGGTGACAGTTCTCATTCTCTTGTTCCGAATCAGCACCGTAATGACCAGTGTGTTTCCCAGCACGCTGAGCAGGAAGATCAAGGAATACAGGAGGATCTGTACCGCCGGCTGCCACTCTGCAAAGAGGAACAGGGACGAGACGGAGGCACGGAGGGTATGAGAGCAGAATGCTAAAACCTCAGCACATGAAGCGAGCAGTTATTTCCTGCCGATCGTTTTTTCAGGGGTGCACATCATGGAGCCCAACTACTCCCGTACTTACAATATTTTGCAGAAACAAACCGAGGAGAGCACGGAGTGATTCCGCGGCTCCTAAAAGATTGGTTTGTTAAAGGACCTCTCAGGGAGCCACTTTTTCTTAGGAACAAAGCTTCTCCAGTCAATAGTGATTGCTTGCTTTCTTAGCTGCCAAACATCATTGCACTTTAATCACTTCTTCACGCCGGATTTCCCCCGAGAAAAGGCAACAGCTAGACTGTGACAGTACGTTTTCTGCGATGCTTGTAAGTTCAAGCTTCGACACTTGTACTCCCTTCTTGTTACACCTCAGGTCCTCATCCCTGCTTTTGTCCCCCCAAGTCCTATGCATTAATCCCCACTCTCCCAGGAGAACAAGAAGAACATTTGACTCAGTTGTGCTTTTTGTTCTCTTATCCAAACTTCTGAACATATGACTTTTTCCAGCCCGGTCTCGTGAGAACTTTGTTCTATTTTCTCTATCAGCCTTGCCTTTGCTGACTTCTCCCTCAACTTAATAGTAGGCTGAACTGAAAGAGCAGTCTCTGACACCTACCTCTGGAAGGACGGGGCTCATTCAAGCAGGAGAGCGTCTCATTTTCCACCCCTAGTTCGCAAGGAGGAGGGATGTTGCTTCCATTCACAAGAAGGCTGTCATCTACGTCCATCCTTGCCTGCTGCTCTCACCCAGTGCTGGAGAGCTGGTGAGTGGCTCACTCTTGGCTCAGTCCTCTAACGACCAGAGAAGCTCCCAAATGCAACCTGTCGTGGGGGGGCAGGGCGGGAGCCATTCCCACGTGTGGGCTTTTTCAGCCATTCCTAAAGGCGACTGGAGTTCCCCCCACTCAGGCCAGCTGGGCAAGCCTTTGCACTCCTGTCTTGGAAAAGGCAGTGAATGCAAGCCAAGTCCGCTCCACCTTCCAGGCCCACCCCTCCCGCTCCTGGGCCAGCCTCAGGGCCCCGAGCACAGGCCGCCTGACTGCGAGTTAACCCTTCCCGGAGTGTTGCTGCTTTTACACACACGTGTGCACACATAGTCACACACGACACAAACACACACGCTTCCCCAGTACCTCTCTTCTCTGTGTAGGAACCTGTCCCCATCCCAGACATACGGAGAATAAAGCCCCAACTGGCTGCGTGAGACAGGAACAATGAACACGGTAACAGATACGATAATGCAGACCATCAGGACTAAAGGACACGGAGCAACTGTGTTTCTACCTCCTTATATAAAAGCAATTAGTGCCTTTTTAGCTTTGGAACCATGCCCAGCAGTGTGTGTGGATACAACTGCTGGCTGGTTGTTAAGTTGTTACCAACCACGGTGTTATTTCTTGTGGTCTCTGCCCTTCTTCCCTGAAAGAAGGGGATACTTTTGAACATAGGTTCCTGGATCCTCATTACAAAAAAAGTTAGTATGATTTTCCATTCATTCATTGACTCATTTGTTCACTCATTCAGCACATAGTCCTCGAGAGTCAGTCATTTGTCAGGCACTTTTCTAGACACATAAGCAAATAATGAGCAAGAATTTGGATAGTGTTAAGCACCACGGAGGAGGTAAAGCAGGGAGATGTGATGGAGAGGAACGGACTGGGGGCGCTAATTTAGACGAGGTGGTCAAGAAAGGCTTCCCTGAGGAGGGGACCGTGATCTGAGACCTGGATGACAAGGAGGAGGAAGGCTTGTGAAGATCTGGGGAAAGTTTCTTCTAGGCAGGAGGCACAGTATTTTTGGCAGAAGTCACAGCAAGTGCAAAGGCCCTGAGGTGGGAATGAGCTTGGCCTGTTTGAGGAATGGATAGAAGTAGGAGTGAGTGAGGGACAAACGGTGGGAGGTGAGATTAAAGAAGGGGATTAGCCCCGGGGTTTGGGTCTTCTGTGAAGCTCGGGGGTGCCGGAAATCCTCTCAATGCCCATTGCACAGATGGTCTCCTCAGTTCAGATCTCTGGGAAAGCAGATGACACAAGGGGACCTATGTTTGCGACACGCTGCTTGGCTGGGCTGAGACTTGGTCTACTTGCCAGATACCTCTGGGGCCCCTTGTGTATGGACAACTCTCTCTGTTGACAGAGCTACAGGCTATATCTTTGCTGAATACAGATCAACTAACTGGCATTTTAACCTTGGGGGCTCAGGAGGGGTTGCTGAGAAGACTGAGTGGTGCCTCTTTATTGTGAAATCATGAGCATCTCATGTTTGAGGCAGGTCATCATAGAGACAAGAAGTAGAAGGGACATCGGAGAAGCTACTAAGAGGACGGGCTTTGGCATCAGACAGACCTGGGATCAAATCCTGGCCTTGATTACCTGCGGGGCAATACTGGGCAAGTTTCTTAACCTCTCTGGGCCTCATTTCCTGCTTCTGTCAAATGGAGATCAAAATGACTTCATAGATATTTGTTATAAAGATTGGCTGATTGCCTCAAGACAGTGCCTGACACACAAAAAGTGTTCACTAAATTACAGAAGACAGTTTCAATAGACGTCTAATAAAATTATTATTTTCCTTTCATGTACAAGGAAACCGAGACTCAGAGAGGCCCCACCCTCACACCGCTTTCTTCATCATCCTGCTCTTGTGGAGCCCGTTTGGAGCCGGGACCCGTGTCTCTGCTCCTCCTTCCTGCCACATGTCCTGTTGCTGAATCTTCCCAGTCTGCAGACAGAGAGGGACCCTGTCCACCATGAGGGGACCCAGGGCAGCACTGTCCTGCTTTGGGGAGGGATAAACATCCAGGTTTTGAGCCCTGGGTACAGCCGAATTTCACCTCACTGCTGTTCCCAGCCGCTGGATGCCTCCACTGGGCACACAGCCATCCATCCAGGGTGATACCTACAGAGCTTCAGCAGGCCCGCTGGCAGCCGCTTCAGCAGCTGGGGGCACGTGCGGCTGCAGGTGCAAGAGCAGAAGAGCAGCGGGCTCGGGCCGACCCGCCCTGAACCGAAAAGGAGCCCAATCTGGGGCAAGTTTCTTCCTTCCTTCCTTCCTACTGTTCCTCCCTCCCTGCCTCCCTCCTCCCCTCTCCCCTTCTTTCTGTTCTGTTCCCGGTTGGCAGGAAGGTGGAGTGTCAGAGGGTGGGTGCCAGGGAATTTGTGAACTCCCCAGGAGCAAGTGTGGCACGTTTGAGAGCTGTGCTTTACAAACTGTAGTGCACATCAGAATCACCCAAGTTAGTGGTTAAAAACTGAGAATTTCCAGGCCCCCCCCCCACCCCCACCGCCCCCGGCTCCCGGGAAAGCTGATCCTGCACTTCGGGCCTGGGAATCTGCATTTTTATCCAGCATCCCTGGTGATTTGCAGGCCAGTGATCTCAGGATAACCTCTCAGGAAGCTCCCTGGAAGCCATGAGGGCAGGCGTCAGGCTGTAGGAACCTAAGCCTGGCTGTCACCATTGGCCAGCTATGGACCTGAACAAACTATTTCACCTTTCTGAGTCTCAGCTTGCACATTTGTAAAGTGGGCACAACATAACACGGCCTGTAAACAAAGCAATACATGGAAAGCACTTAGAACAACGCCTGAACCACAGTGTTGAACTCTAATTGTTGTTATGAACAGAGAAGCTTAATTGCAGGGATGCTCTCTTTATCCCCATCATCATGGCCAGGTTAAGGATTTGTATCTCCTGTCCCCTAGCACAGTGTGTGTTTGGGAATGTGAATGCATAAGGAGTGAACAGTTAGGAGGGCTAATATTTCACTGATTACTATACCCTTTTATAACTCTATTGCACTGATGCTTTTTCTGACCAACACTGGAGTTTTCACTCTGAGTGTCCGAGCCAGTGTTCCCTAAGAGTTAAACTGAAAAAGAGAGAATTCCAACTAGAGATGTTAGAGCTTTCAAGGGAAGAGCTGATGCATTCTCCAGGGCCTTAGCCCTTCTTTCATTCCGAACACATGTTTATGGAATGCCTCCGAAGAGCCAGGCACTGTGCTAGGTGCTGGGGATAAGCAATGAGCAAAGCTGGTGGAAATCCTGCCCTCGTGAAATTCTCACTCCACTGCAGAGACAGGCGACAAATAGACTGGGCAAAATGGGAGTGCCCTTCTCGCCTCGGAGCCCTGTTCTCTGATTGGGCACAGCTCCAGGCAACTTGATAAAAATTTATAAAATTGAGTTGAAAATGGTTTAAGTGCCTCTCCTCTCTCTGAGATGCACAGCACGGGGCAGCGCGCAAGCCTGGCGCCTCCTGCAGTCCACTAAGCCCTTAGGTACTGGGGACTCTGATGAATACGGCCCTAGACAGAGCAGGGGCAATCTCAGTGGGTTCCTGGGTTAGGGAATTGTGAGCCACTCCCCAAGCCCTTCTCCACCTTAAGAAACAATTGTTCTAAAACACCTGCAAGATTTATATGTATATTTTCCTCATTATAACATTAATCACATGCTCATTGCAAAATTCTTTTTAAAAAAAGAAAAAGACAAGTATAATAGAACACGAATAAATTTCAGAGCCCCACATGGTCTGTTCTCAATATGGTGCCCCTTTCAGAGAAACACAGTCCAGAAGCCAGAGGTTGTTAACAAGCAACTGCATATTGTGGGATATGATACCCAATTCGTAGGGCGGCCTGACATTTCTTAAAATTAGCTTGCCTCTCTTCCGCAATTCCCCTGCGCTCTGCTGCTCAGAATGTCACTCTCTCAATTCCTTGTTCCTCATTCTCTTCCCAAACTCACCCAGAGAGCTGCCTACTAGGGTTTTCCTCTTTTCCTTCCTCTAATCATCTCAGACTTCTGGAAGTGACTGCCTGGGACTTCCCTCCCTCCCTGCCCCCACTGCACTGGCCGTACTGGATCACTCCGGGGGTCCCAGGTTCTGGTGCACCTCTGATCCCCACAGAGGGCTGCGTGCAACTAACTGCCCCTGAGGTTCTCCTCCCTGGCTGTCCTTCCTGGAGAAACCACAGTGGATCCTTCTGATGAATAAAGCCCCTTTTCACCATGAAGGAAGGAGCCCCACATCCGTCTATCACTTAGCAGGCCACAGCTGGGGTTGCACAAACAGCTTTGTCTCGCTCCGTCTCCATTTCCTCATCTGGAAAATGGGTTAACAGAGGTAACACCTGCCTCCATGGGCTGCTGGGACATTGCATGTCCCAAGGTGTGTAAAGCACACAGCAGAGTGTTTGACATGTCATAAGGGCTCAGTAAGTGATAATAATAATTTACAATGTTCTGTGTTGATGGGAAATTAAAATCCTCCTTGATGCCAGTGCCTCCAGACACGCTTGTTAACGGTTTAGTTGGATATCCTTCCAGCCTTTTCCTCTAAATACATTCTTTAAAAAGAAAATCTGGAATCATACCATATGTACATTCATTCTACTTACCACTTTTTGAAAATGTAATTTAACGAAAATATTCAAAACGAGAAATATGGCTTTTGTAGGGTTCTGAAAAAAAATGTGTGGCTTTTTTAAAGTTAGATAAGAAAGTAAAAGAATCTATAACCCCAGCATCCAGGGAATTTAAAAGTGTTTCACATACATGCTATTTTGTATATTCTTTTTTTTTACTTAGCATTATTTTATCCTCACATTTTAGTACTTCTCCACAGTGTTTTTTTAGTGATGTCTATTATTTCATTAAGAATATGTACTCCAATTTACTAAAATATTTCTGTACAGATGGATATTTAGTTATTATTTTTAGTCTTCTGCTGCTATAAGTGACACTGTAGTGAACACTTATGCACACACTTTGTGGCATTTTGTGTACATGGGTGACATCAGGGCTGCCATCACCCCAACTCCAAAGGCAGCATTCACGTTGAGCACAGTCAGTGCCAACCCCAGAGCTGCCAGTGCCACGCACACGACCTCCTGGGCTGGTCGCCGGAGGCCTGGGGAAATCG